TCATAAGAATTAGTATAACCTGAATCTTAACTTTCTTAACATCAAATGATATAAGTAATGTATATTAATTGATTATTGATAAATTTACTCTTATAATTATTAAATAATTATTAAATAAATTACAAGTATAATTTATTGATATAAATTTGATTCTGATATTATGATAATATCATGTTATATATGTTAAAGGTTAAAAAAAAATAATTAAATTTTTATTCTAAATTATTATAAAATTATAAAAGAATTTATAAAATAATATAAATTTTTTAGGATATTCAGCAATGTACTGGTCCTTTAGAATTGCTTAATGAATTAAATGCAGAAGGCAGAGCAAAAATAGCAATTTTAAAATCATCTATAGATAAATTAGCATCTATAGCAGAAAGAGAACTTTCAGAAAAAAAAAGAATAGAATTATTAACTGAAGTAGATGTTTATAAACAACAACTTAATACTTCTTTAGCTGCATTTCGTAAAGCTAATGTTGTTAGTGTCTGTGTAATAGATAAACTTGCTAAAGAAGAACTACTTTCTATGCCTGAAGAACAACAATCTGCTATTCGTAGAAGACATGACAAGAAAAGTCTAGCAAATACATCAAATCAACTCTCTGACAAACTTTTAAGTATATCTAGACACTTAGCTGAAACAACTCAAAAAAGCGCAGATACATTAGATACATTAAGTATGTAATTTCTTTTTTATAATATATTTTAAATTTTAAGATGTGATTTTTAATTTATTACTTTAAACTTTTTTAGTAATATCATCAGATAAAGTTATCAGTACTAAAGATGAATTAGAACATCAACAACAAGCTATAGTTCAATCTGGAAAACTTTTAGGCAAATATGGTAGAAGGGAAGTTACTGATAAAGCTTTAGTAGCATTGGCATTTATATTTTTTCTTGCCTGTGTTATTTATATCTTACAAAAGAGACTATTTTAAAAAGTATAATAATATCATATATCAAAAATTTTAAAATCACTTATAGATATGAAAATTGCATTTTAAAGAAAGAAGTGTCTTCTAAAACATAATTGAATTGTTAATAATTTTATATATAATATTATTTATTATTTAAATTTGACAAAAGACATGTTTTATAACTGTATTATTTTATTAATAATAAAAATATTTATGAAATAAAAAAATTTTCCAATTCCAATTATTCCAATACTTTATTAGCACTATTGAATAAATATAAACTGTGTTTGAGTTATACAATTTTATAATAAAAAATATATCATACAAATATAAAATTGTTATTATTAAAATGGTAGAATTATGAATCTAATTAATGAACATTATTATTAATTAATTATTATTTAATGAACATTAATCATTATAATTATTATATATTATATTATATGTATATAATTGTGTTAACTTTTATAATTATTTTATTCATAAAATTTTAAATTTTTCCTCAAATATAATTATTTTTTTTATCATTATTCTCATCAACATCCATCTTTTTAAAAAATTCATGTTTTTGATTATTTATTGAATAATTTACTTATATCCAGCAGAATTTTTTGAACTTTTAATGTCTATTAGTAATTAAATCAGTTTATTAGAAATCAAAATATATTCATTAAGAATATCCGAACTAACAATACCATTTTTATCAAAAGCATTGAAAACAATTTGAATATACTTTGCTGGATTTCTTAATGAAAATTTTATATAAACTGATTTTAAATCATTCATGAATATAATCTTTTTCTAACAATATTATTCAAAAATTTCATATAATTTTTGTATCTCATTCTTTGAAAATTCTATTTGACATGTACTATCAAAAAAATAAATTGCTTCGGAAATATGTATAGTCATTGTTTTTCATCATTGCATATTTTTTATAAAATTTTAATGAGGAATATTTATTGAAATTTCTAAAAATATTAAAAACAATCTTGTATAATTTTTCTAATTTATAAAAAATAATTAATGATATCAAATCTTTTAATATCAAAATTTAAAAAGTTTAACGATATGATATAGGAAATTTAAATATTTTGCAATACAATGTTTTTGAAACAATATTAATTTATTGTTACACTTTTCTTACTATAAATTATTTTTTTTATCTAAATTTTTATTGATATATCAGTTTTTTAGGGATATTTTTGGGATATTTATTGGGAATATATGGGATATTTTCAGGAATCTCCATTTTATGAATGTTCCAATATTTTTGGAATCTCCTGTATATTATATTTGTATTTTTTTGCATTAAAATTTTGAATTTAAATATTAATTTAATTATATTTACGGAATAAGCATAATTATTATATAATTAAAATTTATATAATTTGTATTTGTATTATCAGTATAATTATGCTCAAAAATTTGAATTAAAAAAATAATATTCATTTTTCATCTTAAATAAAACAAAAAAATAATTTAATAAAAAGAAATGCATACATATAAATTATTGATTATACAAATCACATCATATTTTTTCATCGAATATCTTATATATAAAAGCTATTTATTCATGTGTCTCATACACGTGTTTCATAAAGAATATTAACAGACCAATATACATAAAATATATCTTATTTCATTCATTTATTTCACTTTATCTATTTAAAATTTTTATTTATTAGAAAAAATAAAATTCTAATTACTAGAAAAAAGGAAAATGTATTATATATATGCATCATTTTTCGCGTGATAATTAAATATGAGTAAATTAGATAATGTGAAAATAAGAATTTAATTTAATATGATCTATATTCGCTCGGTCTAAATTCAAAAATCAATAATAATTGCAAAAGTTGATTACATTTTAAGATAAACAAATCACTTGCAAATTTTTTAATGCAAAATTATTAAATGTCTTTACATACTTTTTTTAGTAAAAATAATTATAATTAATAATTAATAATTCAATAGGTTAGAAAAAAAATATATGTTATGGTAATATAATATATGGTAATATATATAATAATTATGCTCAAGTAATAGCTAATCATGATCAAACTTAATAAAAATGATTACATATAATATATATTTTTCTGCTATTTAAATAATATGCATTTCTCATTAATCATAATCAAAATGTATTTCGATTTTCTATTATATATAACTAAAATATTTTTTCTTGAAAACTTTTTAATATTTATTGTTTTTCTTAAATACAGATTGAAATAATTATATAAATATATATTATATATATTACGAAAAAAGATTTATATATCGGTATTATATTAAAAATGATAACCTTGACATAATGATCTCAAATGTAGGACAGTTTACAATCAACTTAAAATTATTATTATTAATCTGTAATATAATTTAATTGACTTTCATGGATGGGTCAATGATAATAATAATTTTATAATATCTCTATGAAATAATTGCATTCAAATCGGAAGAAATAAATGAACAAAAAGGCAAAATCAATTTATTAAATTTAATGATTTTTTTACAATAGTAATTTAATACAAAGCATTTTTAATTATAATTAAGATTTAGAAATCTGGAATGCAATTGGTGTACATCGACATTCCAATAAATGAATATATCTATAATTAAATAGTTATTTTTTTACTACGTGTTCTATTGTGATAAATTTTATACGCATGTAGAATATACAAAAAGATTATGTGTCATGAATGCAAAATTTATTTAATTTGCCAAACAATAAATAGATATCTAAAATCTTTCTCAAAATCAATGTGACAGAAAAATATCACATTGCGCTATGTTTCTTTATCGTTTTATAAAATATATCACAATAAAAACTTATTTTCATATATGCTTTTTAATATAAAAAAAAATTATATGTTAATAGATAAAATTGTATATTAATTTGATTATTATTTTTTTTAACTATGATAACTTAATTATTCTCTTTCATAATTTTTAGGTTTCATAATCGGAAAAATATGAAAGAATTAAAGATAAATGTAAAAGTGTTTATAAATCCAATCATTATATTTTTTTTAATCAGTAGGATAGAGTTGATATATAAAACAGTAGTAAGCATTTAGTATCATTTCATTGCGAAAGTATACTTGTTACCGCGAGTTACCAGTTTAAACTCTTTTATAAATCGAAAAAAAAAAAAATATAAATAATCGGATGTTTGCATAAAAGATTTTTATCGATTATATTTGAATAATAAATAAAAATTAAAAGAAAAAAAGTATTAGTTTAATCAGTTTATTCAAAAAGTGTGAAGTTTAAAAATAAAAATACAAGACAATCATATAAATATATAATAGGTAATTATTTATCATTTAACTTGATAGCATACAAATTTGTAAATGTTATCTATAGTGTTTCTATAAATAAATATGCATTTGCATATTCAATTATTTTTATATGTTTTTTCCAGATATTTATTAATTTTTAAAGTGAAAAAATTGAAATTAGCAAAATGAAAACTTTGTTTTTATTTTTATTGTTTATCATCAGTGGATATGGAGCTCCTTGGTTTGAAATTATTTTTGGCAAACAACAAGACTATATTTATCAACCATTGAGTTATAAAAATCAACAATCAAGGCGACAACAAGGAAAAAGAGGAGAAGAAAGATGGAAAGAAATTTGTAGAACGATAAATCCTGATCCTTATGCTTTTCCAGACCGAATACCTTATCCTTCTGTACCAATTTGTCCTTAAATAATTAAATTATTTAATAATTATTTAAATATGCGTTAAAAATATGAATTTATTGTAACAATATCAGAGAATACACAAAGATATTCACTGGTTATGAGTATTTCAGTCAGTATATAAGTTTACTATGTAATCAATAACATAAAAGTACGCAGTCATATATACCTATCAATATAAATTATGTATCAAGGGATAAATTTGTTAATGATGTCTTTGTACATTAATATAATATGTTTTCTTTTGTATTATGTCACTTAATTAATCGTTGCTATTATATTATTTAAAGCTAAATATTATTAATTTATCTTAATTTATTATAATACATCAAGCTCTTTCATCTTTTTCTTTTTTTTTTTTTTTTATGTAGAAAAATAAATCATTTATATTACCCAAAAATCACTCTATTAAAGTAACTTAAGTTTTATACTCTAAAAAATGCATTGTATACAATAGTTACGACTATAAATGATCTTATTTACTATTCATCTATATATTACATATTATGTACAAATAAAAATCACAGAATTACTGCAGCACATGAGTTCAATCATAAAAATCTTGATGTTCGATTAGATTGTTTTCTCCAGAAAAAATATATATTAGAAAAATTTGTACATTACATACAGTCTTGGAACATGACATGATGAAAGAGAAAACAATCATTTCCAAACTTGTATTAATCCATCTGTACTACCAGTTAGGATACAAGTATTTGACATAGATACCGCGGAAATTGTATCATGATGTCCAGATGGCGGAGTTTCTGGACCTTGACCACCTTCTTCAGAATTTCTCGTTCTAATGCTATTATTTCCTCCAGATGATGGAATAGGACCACCTCCAGCTAAAACTTCTTGTACTACATTAGTCCCATCAATTAAACGTTGTCTGTAATTAAAAATTTTTTTAAATCATATTATATAATCATGTATCTTTTTTAATCATATTATATATAATATAAACTATTAATTTATATTATTTTTATTATGAATACTAACTCATATGCTAATGAATTTGGAGGAGTAACATCAACAGCAGCAGGCAATGCAACATATGATTCATTGGGCGCATTTAAATCCCAAAAACGTAATCTCATATCAGTACCACCAGCTAATAAAAAACCTGAACGATCAATGCATCCAGAATACATTGCACATACACTATGACCACCTTGTGAATGACTAAGAGGAGGTGCACTTGATGCCCAAAGTACCATTTGTCGAAAATCAGTTTCAAGATTCCACATTGAAATTTCGTTATTTCCTTGCACAGCCGAAATAATCCATGAATGTTCAGTAGGATGAGTAATTACTTTTCTTACTCTTGCACCTAAAATTGAAAATGTTTTATAAAATTTAAAAATTATTTCTTATTTTATATGAATTTAAAATAGTTGTAAATTTACTTGTAGGATGTTTAATACTAGTTATTGGTAATTGAAATCGTAAGTCCCAGCATGTATGGACTCCGGAACTAGTACCAAGAGTTAACCATTGTTGATAATTATTTACGCAAAATGAAGTAATTACTCCGTGTTTTAAATCATTCTCTAAACGCCACGTTGTACCAGGACATCTTAAATCCCATCCTACTAATGCACCATATAATGATGCATATACAAGAACTGATTGTGAACCCGAATCTAAATATTGTAAATCAACTGCACATCCTTCTTCCTAAGTATAATAATCCAGAATTATATTAATTTATCAATATTAAAAAATTAATTACATTTTAATAAAATTTATACAATTAATTACTTGAAGATCTAATTGTCTGGTACCAATGACACTCATTTTACTAGAATTTGATTCGATTCGTAAAACAAATACTGTTCCTGATTGACTAGCAGAACTTGCTAATGATTGTCCTTGATCACATATAGTTAAACCAACCAAAGGACCACCTCTGTGTATATAAGTTTGTCTAATGAAATTAAAAAATAATATAAAAATATTATATATTAGAAATATATACAAAAACATATTACATATGGAATATATTATATAAAATATCTACCTAGAGCGATTAGCAATGTTTCGACCTTCCATTTTACTTGCATCCCATATTTTTATACATCCATCTGCAGAACTACTGGCAAATAAACTAGTATCTGATATAGAAACTAGTCTATTTACTGCAGCTCTATGTTCATGAAGATGTGCAACTGGTACTCCTCGAGGTCTCCATCCATTTGGTAATAATCTTGAACCTTTTTTAATTAAAAACATTTATTATATCAATATTAAATATAAAATATATATCAACATAATATAAAAAATATATATTAATTACCAGCTTGCCATGCAATATTATCAGCCCAATGTTGTGCTCTTAATGCAGCAGCATGTTGTTCTTGCTTTCTGTATGTCAATTGTCTTACTTCTAATCTACAAGGTGCACATCTATCTACAAAATTACATAAAAATTTTTGTATATGCAATATTTTAATATTTAAAATATTTTTAAAACACATACATTGAATATATGAACGTTCATGAAGAGAATGATCATTTATGCTATTTATGTCAGACAAACTATGTTGTGGTGATAAATGAATGTCTCCTCCATGTAAACTTTGACTAGGACTTCCATTACTTCCCGTCATATCTGACATTTTAACAGTATGCTATATTATAAAAAAATTAATTATAATTCTATAAAAATTCACATAAATGTAGCTCATATATTTTTAATTACTTGAATATTATCTTGAGCTGCAAACATTGTACGCCATTCTTGATTCATTGTTGCATATGTGCCAACACTATCTGATGTTCTACGATCTAATCGTTTAAATGGTGGAAGACCTAAATCGGATTTTGTATCGGGATATAATATTATTATATGATGTCTTATCTTGTCTTTCATAGTATTTAATTCTAACTTTCCTTCCATTGATTTAGTTGTACTCAGCTTCGCATCTACCGAATTTCGATATTTATTAATTTTCATTAAATGTGGCTTCATTGTTATTAATTGATCTTCAACAATTTCAGTCATTGATTCTGAACTTAATCGTCTGAAAAGCTAAAAACTTTGTTTAAATTTCTCGAAAAAAATAAAATATGCTTATGAATAAAATTTACAATTTACATTTCGTAATGAATTATTTGTTTCACTATATTGTGGAACCATTCCTGGTAATGTTTTCGTTCGTGCAACTTGTCTCTGTTCAAGACTTTGAAATAATTCTTCTATATCATTATATTTTACAACAGAGTCATAAACAATTCTTGGGATAGGAGGTACTAAAGCCTCTAATAATAAAATTTCTTTTTCTATTTGAATTAATGGATGTTTTAAATATGGTTGTATCATTGATTGAACTTTGCATTGAACATCTACTAAATTAAGTGTTCGTGCTGCTGCAGATATAAATCCAACAGTTGCATGTCTTATCCATAAATTTGGATGTACCTATGGAATATTTTAAATTCGTAATACTTTATATTAACAATTACAATTCTTAGTAATTAATCTTGCTAATGACTTTGATACATTATATCTTTGATATATATGTTATTAAAAACATTATTCTGAATAATTTTTCTTTATAACTTAATTAGTAATTTCTTACAATTTTCAAGATAAAAAAAAATGGTTATTATTGAATTTCGCAATTAAATATAATATAATATAATATAATATCAATATCAAAATCATTGGCATGCTATTTCTAAAATAAATTTTTAATAATTAATATTATTAAATTTTAACTTACTAAAAAAACCATAGTTTCATATAAAAGTTGATAAAGAGCAGATTTATGTAAAAGACCTAATTCTGTGAGAGTTGCCATTGCATTAATAGCTTTTGTTGTTACAAATTCTTCAGGATCTGCTAGTCCTTGCTGAAGAAGAGGCATTAAAATAGGACTACTATGCCAACCAACATAAGCAGCTACACCAACAATACATTCAAAAAAAGAACCTCTTAACTCTTTATCTTCTTTATCATTTAAAAAAGTAATAATATGGCTCAGCAAAATATCATTGGCCTTTTGTTTTCCAAAAAATACACATAATTTATTAATTCCACTTTCTATTAATGTTTGTTTTACCAAATTCTGAGGATCTGTTAATAACATGGATACAGATTGTTGCACCTAATAATATTAAATATTTTAATATAAAATTTTAATGAGTAATTAATAAGTATTAATAAGTATTAATAAAATAAAATAAAATATAATATTTTATATATATATATATATAAATATTATAATAAAAAATTAATTACCATTTCATGCAAAGTTTGAAGTTCACTATCATAACTTGGTTTTGGACCTTCTTTGTTACCTAAGTTAGATAAATGAGCATTCTCTAAATACCTTAATGCAATATGTGCTAAATGTGCAATATTTTCTGCATAAGCAGTTCTGACAATTACAGCTTCATCTTGTGTGATATGTGCTAAACCAGGTAAAATGTATTCTGGGAAAATGTTAACATCTGATGGTGGAATTGATTTTACAAGATGCAAACATTTTGTCAAAGTATGTATAGCTGATACTCGTACTCTTGGAGCAGGATCATGAACTAAATGAAACTATACATATGATGAACATTAGATAAACTTTTTTGTTATTAATATTGAAATTATTAATTTAATATAATACTTATAAAATACTTACAATATAAGGCAAAATTCTATCCAATATTGTTTCATCTGATGTATTTTCAGCAAGTTCAAGTAATATTTCTAAACTTTGTAATTTAGATTGAGAATGATGCAAACCTCTTATACATGAAGTAACAAGTTGAGTAATAATAACTAATCCTTCAACAGGTTCTGAAGATAAAGCTTTCTTTTCATTTTTTAAATCCATTTTTTGATTTTGATTTTCAATTAATTTAATTTCTGATTGCTGATTTCTTTGATTTTCACATTTAAAATCTTCTTTTGAAACAGTTTTTGAATCAGTTTGATTCATATCAGTTTTGTCAAAACTTTGATCACTATCAACTTCTACAATAGTATTATCTTCACTGTGACCAGAATCATCTTTAGTTGATTCTATATTTTTTTCAAATTGATCAATCTTAACCTCCATATTTCTTATATCAGCTTTTACTTTTTTATTTTCTTCTGCTTTTAAAATATTAATAATATTACCAATATCTTTTTTAAGTCTATTTATTTTTTCATCAGGAGATAAAATTGGGGCAGCAGAGAAAATAAGCATATATGGTTGCAGAAATAAATAAAAATATTCTGGAAATACTGTTCCACGAGCTTGAGCTAGATAAATTTCAGCACTTTTTCTATTTGCTGGATTTCTTTCTAGCATAGATGCAAGGAGTTCGCGTATTCCAGGATCTTCTATTGTATCCAAATGCTTACTCACTGAATATTCATTGTTTCTATATGCTTGATATATCATAATAACACAATTCTTTAATATAATACAATAATATTATATACAATTTATACATACCTAATAATTGAGAAAAATCAAATGGTGAATGTCCTTCATTATATAATTCTGTTAATGCACAGCCTGCAGAAAAAATATCCATCATTGGATGTAAATCACCTGTCTTTAATTCTTGTTCTGATAACAATAATGTATTGTTTAACTCTGAAGATAATGTTTTCACAAATCGTTCTGGAGCTATATAACATGTTCTGAAATAATAATTGAATTTATCACAATAAATTAAAGATAATAATTATCAAAAAAAAAAAAAAAATATTATTTGCACATGTACCTTCTCCTAGAAGTATCAAAAAAATATGAAAAATCTGCAGGATTATCTTCAGGTAAATAAGTTGGTTTAAAACTTGCAAAATCTGTGAGTAAAATCCAGTTCCAACTAGTTATCATAATGTTTTCTAGTTTGATATCACCATGACAAACTCCAAACTATATATTAAAAAATATTTTAAATTTGTTATTATACATTTTATAAAGGAAGTACATTTATATTTATATACATATATATTTATATTTACAGGATTGTATTTATATTCATTATTTAATAGAAAAATTTTAACATATTTAATTAATTAAAAATTATTTCATAATATCTGAAATTGTTTAACTTGATTAATTTCAAAACTTTTATAAATATTAGTTTACCTTATGAGCTTGATGTAAAGCATACAAAATTTGAAAGGTAATCCACTTCTTTTCTATACTTGTTAAAAATGGCCTAGTACTAATTCTATCATAAAGAGAATATTTCACATATTCTCTCATTATTGATCCTGATTTTTCTGTGAGCTTATACAAACAATTATTTATAATTATAAATAATAAAAATTATTATAATTTACATAACATAAATATTATAATATAAATATCATATAAATATACTTACAATCATTCTTTGAAAAGGTAGACAATTTACAGCAGATGCTAATTTAGATCTAATTTCTTCAAGTTTTTCTTTATAAGTAGACAATGGAAGTGTTGGATCATGAATAGCAAAAACTTTAATTACTATAAGACCTTCTTGACTTCTGGCACGAGCCACTTTAAAAAATCTAGTACTTCCTAAGCTATATGCACAAATAATTATAAGAAAACAAAAATATATAATTATTCCTTATACATATTATATGTGATATAATTTTGATTTATATGAAATATATCATAATATAATTTTTTTTTTTTTATTAAGAGATCTTATCAAAATATTTTAATTCATATTAAATATGTTATCAAACATAGATTGATGAAAAATTGAAGAATATGTTGAGTTTATCACTTTTATAATTATTCATATTAAGTCAAAATACTTACTTTATGTCGAATAATAAATCACTATGATCCGTCAAATAATGTTCTACTGGAAATATTTGACTAGGCGCAATACCGACTAATTGATTTCCCATTTTGTAAATCGATGTTTAATTGAAACTGATATATTTGCAAGCAGCATCCATTTTGTGCCAACTTCATGTGTTACGTAGTATATATATGTAATATGGTATGCAAAGTAATTATATATACAATATGGTCATTTATAAATTGTGTTTCTTAAATATAACGTTTTAAATATCTCTTTTTTAAATTAAAAACTAATTATAATTTCATTATATCAAATATTGTATAATTATATTTGCTATCAAATACCAAGAAAAGAAAAATATAATTAATTTATTTCTAATAAGATTGGTAGTAATATTAGATTACAATTTACTTATATTCCTAGTGAAAAATCTATACTATTAATTTGATTAATACTTTATCAAATTATATTATATTAGTCATCATATATTAACAAAAAAAAATGGAACATGTAAAAATACAAAATAAAATGAAATTCATTAATCATTTTAAATGATTAAAAATTTTTTATCTATATATCCATGATATTATTTAATAATTAGAATCTAAAAATATTAAATAATTTTAACTAGAAATTCATGCTATTAAAAGTTATATCATAAATGATTATGGTTTAAAAATATATATTAATTTTATATTAATTTTATATTGTATTAATTTTGTATACAATCACTAAAATTGCCAGCATGTTGGACAAAATGGCTGACAGTGACACATGATGTAAGTAACTATATAGACAGTCTTAAGAAAGTACTAGAGAGTAATGTTATGCTATACGAAAGATTTTTAAATTGTGTTGACTTTATTAACTTTTGTGATTGAATTGAATATAATTTAATATCATTATTTTCAATCGTAGAAAGCATATTAAATAACTTTCAATGCGATCGATATTTCAGATCATAAGATGCTAATTCCGTCAAATATCAGATCTATTCTCATTTGTGATATGTATAGAGAAATCACTATTTATTATATTTATTATATAGTTTAAAAATAAAAATTATTGACTTTTTTGTTAACAAACAATTTATTTTATTGTCGATAATATAAAAAACTTCCGTATATTGAAAAGATGGTGCCACTAATCAAAGACCATTAATAAGTTCAATTTGTTGTCGATAACAGTATATCACAAGTTTGAATATTTTTTAAAGAAACGATAATGCTGATTAAGTGTTGAAAAAAAAGATTACAAATTTTTTTTAATTTATATTTCTTTATAATTTATTTTTGTATTTATATCTATAACATATGTATATTTTATATATATTGCTATATATAAATTGGTTTTTCTATTTTATATATATACATATATATATATATTTATTTATATTTTATGTAAATATATTGTATTTATATTTATTTAAATTTTTATATTTTCATACATATATATGCTTAATTTCAAAAAACATGATAATTTAAAAAAAATGATTATATAAATAAGCAAATATTTATTATTTTTTTTCTTATTATATAAACTATACATTCATAATATCATTTATCACAATCTTCAAATAAAATTATTTATGATTTTGACATTACAATTTTCGAAACGCAAATGTCTTTTTGAGTTATATTAGCTTATACGATATCACAGTTAATATATCACAGATTTAACATCTTATGTTTGCTGTCTGGTGCCTGTTATGTTTTATAGATCTCACGAAGCAATGAAAAAATTTTTTAATTGTACATGCTTTGCTATCGTGTATCATTATATACTAAAAATTAATGAAATTATTTGAATTGCGTTTAAAACATTAAAAACTAGAAAAAAAAAGGATAAATTAAAGAATAAAAAATAAAAAAAATATAACTTAAATAATAATATAATATTGATTTTTGATTTTTTAAATGTATGTGTTAATATACGTAAATCTTACAATGTAAAAATTTTTAAAAACTTAAAACTTAGTTTATGAGAAAAAACAAATGTAAATAAAGAAAATAAAAGGTAATTAAAATGTTATTATATATATAACATATTGTTTTTAACAATAAAAATATTAAATTCTCTTTATTATGGAAGATAATCGAAAAAATTTTATATAAAAAAAAATAATTTCATTTAAACATTGATAATAGGATAATAGGATAATTCAATAAATTAATGAATTTCTATAATTTTAAATTTCTATTTTTATTGTCGATAATCGTTGAACATAGCAGTGTCTACAAAGAGAGCAACTCCATGACAGTGTCTATTATAACCATACTGTCGATGGATAGCTCTCTTTATAGCGCGCGCCTTTCGTCGTTGTTCTTCATTTGAAGTTTTGCCTTGTTGCATCTAATATCCTAAAAACTTTAAATTTTATAAGCAATATATATTTAATATATATAACATTGTAACAAATAATGAAATTGCATAATGAATTTCAAAAAATAAACCGTAGATAAACATCTTGTTAAAATATAAAATTTTAATATTACTCATATAAAAGAAATTTGATTTATGTAGCTACTTATATTGAATGTTAACAGAAGAGATCCGGATATGCAAAAGAAAATGCTAAGAGATAGAAAGTATCGCTGTGATGGAATATAATATGAGTATAGTAGCTTTGCTTGTTATCAGGGAGGTGTGAGCAACTTCTTCCTCTTTAGCGTTGCCACCTGATTGCGCGGTAAACATAACCTCCGTGCGTTAGCTCGTGCCATGAGTTGTTAACACTTCCTTTTCTTCTTCATTCTGATGCGTACATTCGAATGTAGTCTAGAAATACATTAAACTGCAAATCAAGATTTAATCGAACGATTATGCAGTTTAAAGATTACGATATAACTTAGTAATAAATTTTAATGTCAAAACATATGATACGAAGAGTCAAACTTTGAATTGATCGATAATTCTATCAATCCGAGATAAGTTTAAATAATTCATTGTACTGATAATTGTTATCAGATATCACATAATGGAAATTTATAATTATTTTATAATTTTAAAAATATTCTTTAATTTAAAGAATTTAAAAAGGACTAATAAATGCTTAAGTATCAGATAAAAATTGAAAATATATAAGATTATAATATGATTTAAATTATTGTAGATTATTAATATTGTAGTAATAAGATAATGTTTGTAATTACATGTCTTATTATAATTCACAAATAATAATTTCTAAATAGAATAAAATAAATAAAAATAAAAAATTTAAGATATAATCAAGATAGATTATAGTATTTTTATTTATTCATTTATTTAGATGATATTTTTCTAACTTTAAGAAACT